TAAAATAATGACATTAAGTGTTTCCATTGGGAATAAGGTTCGCAAATTGAATAACACTTGAATTATATAAGTACTACAATAACTATTGGAAATTCATATCTTTCTTACAATTTACTTAATTTAAAATAATTTCTAACCTTAACCTCATTTCTTCTACTAAATTGAATTATTAAATTAATGTTTAAAAATATTGTTTTTAAGTTTTTTATTATTCTAAAAAATATCAATTCACACTTCGCTATGCTTTTATATTTGACACATAAAACAAACAAAATTCTATAAAAAATAATTCTTACAGTAATAGGCAGTTCAGCTAAGGCTGGATTACGTCCCAATATGTTGAGAGTGTCCTTTGCAAACGCTTGAAACGCTTCCCTAAATGTCCGCTCCATTGTATAAGAGATTTGCTGATCTATTTATACCACATATTGTCAATGAATTTCATCAAATAATTTCCAAAAAAGTCTCACTCGTTAGGTCAGGATATATTCTTATAGTACTTCCTTCGATGGTTGTGTTGTCCACATCTTCTCCTAATATCATTCTAATTCATTCAAGAGTCACATCTAATCAATCGATTCTTCCAATAATACAATAAATGATTTTACCTTCTTTGAAGACTAAGACTAAATTTTTCCGGAATATTCAATACACCCCTAATTATAATGAATAAATGGAAACGTTTGATGTAATGTCAGTTCTTTATTATATTTAATATAAATTGTTTGTATCCTATTTGTTATGTATCCTAAATATTATGTTATGCTAATCAATAAGAATCGTATTTTTAGACAATTTATAAAATAACCAACAATATTCATATATTAATTTTAAAATAACAAAAATAAACTAAACCTAAAATTTAAAAAATAGCAATTCTTAAATCACTGTATATCTGCTCTTAATTATTGACCAAACTTTAGATTACAACAAACTTTGAGTGATTTATAATCTTTTATAAAAAAGCTTTTTATAGTAATAAATATTTAGAGATTTTCAACACTATAGTAATATAACTGTTATATATATCGGTAAATGTCATGTTTTATCTAATAATGAGGACATAAATATCTTAAAGACAAGACTTACCACATTTCTCCCCTCTTCACAGCATTGATCGCGTCATCAAAGGAACTAAAATTGTACTAAAAATACAATCAAATAATACATCAATAAATTAGTGGATTTGACTTTTTTTTTGGGTATAAATATCAATAAATAATTCCAAACCTGATTAACGAGATGTGGATTTATTTTGTCGAGAAATATTCTGCTAAGGAATGGCGGGAACTCTTCGTTAACTATCGCTACATTGATATTGAAAGGGTCGGCACCGATACAGAGGCAGAATAATATCACTTGAATGGCAGGCAATACGAACTGAAATAGTAATAAACTAGAAAACAAACAAATTAATTGATAATTGTATGAAATGACAACAGTAATCAACACTTACGGCACATTCCTCCGGGTTCTGGTGAAGTTCTTCCACGTGACGGCCATTATTGTCGAGCAATACTCTCCGGCGTCGAGTCTTCGTGAGTCATATTTGGCTCCTCTGGACATTGTTCCCAATGATATGGGATTAATGAATAGGCCGTCCTCTTCAACCAGTTGTGTCGTTGAGGTATTATTGTTAGCTCTGGCAGGCGTTGGTGTCGGCGGTAATGTATAACTCGATTCCTTATTTCCGCTGTAAAGAGAAAATACTGACGGAAACTACAAATAGGAGACGGTATTAGAAAATATTCTTAGTTTGCGTTAAAATTTTATTAAAGCTAACCTTCAATCCATTCTTGAGATCTCCATTTGTGGCCATAAGATGATAATGTGGGTGAAGATTGTGACTATTGTTAGGATCGGTGACAGAAAGTGTCTCAAGACCTGTAGTGGTGGCCAAAGCAGCGGCTTTGATGGACATATCAGTCATACATAACTTTAAGAATACGTCTTCAAGTGAATCTAATTTGTATTGAGACATGAGTTCTTCGGGTGAGTTCTCTGCGAGAAGCTTTCCCTGTCTCATAAGCCCCACAACATTTGCCAGACGCGCCTCTTCTATGTAATGGGTTGTTATAATAACAGTTATTCTTTCCGATTGAGTCAATGTCACTAAATGTTGCCAAATGCTAGACAATCACCAAATTATGTTTTACTACCGGTAACTCATTATCTCGTTTAATGCTTTCCTACCTTTGCCTTAAGAGTGGGTCCACACCTACTGTGGGCTCTGTATGCAAATCAAACCATTTATTTATTAGTTTCAATAGATATGAAAACTTCATGAATACAAGAATTACCGTCGAGTATAAGAAGTGGTGGCGAATGAACTAAAGCTGCCGCTAAAGAAACTCTTCTTTTCTGACCGCCACTAATATGTAAATTTTTAATTAATTAAAAAGTTATGCATTTATAATGTATTGCATTAATTAATTAATTATTAATAATAATGTATAATATTATTTTATAATTATGTATATTTTAAAAATTCCTAAAATTTGGTACATTTTTTACCAAAATATATGTATAGTAAGAATAGATTTAATTTATATAGCAATTGATAAATAAGTGCATTATGATGAATGTTTTCATTATAAAAGCCTCTTTGATATAAATATGTGTCAAATATTTGGTCATTAAAAGTAAGAATTGAAATAAATGTAAAAGAAAAAACTTATATACAGTATAAAAATATAGATGTTTTTGGGAACTAAATGGTCAAAAATAATATAAATTACTACTTAATGCTCTACTTTTAAACCGCAAAATAAGGGAACAGTATTTAATAAATAGCTCACATTTTTAAGACCTGCTCCACAACTCTCATGGAATTGACTTTATATTTATCTTTTAAAATTGAATGTATTATTAGTACAGAAAATACTGTTATAATAAGTTTTTGGTAACGAAAGCGAAAGCATTTTAGAGTTTTAAATATAAAACAAGTTAAAGTTCCTGTTGTTAAATGAGGACAAACAATACAAACAGCTCCGGGATATGAAAATAATTTTCGTTCAAAAAATATTTTTATTTCGCAGAAAAGCCCTTAAATTTCAATCGCAATACTAACTGATCCATCAAACAAACAATGAGTGGTTTACCTTAAATTGATAACCATTCGGCTCTTATTTGGAAGATCGAGAAATGCCAATAAAAATTCAATTCTTTCCTTCAAAAATCTGGGATTGAGTCGAAAAAGTCTCCCGAAATACAGAAGCGTCTCTTCAATAGTGAAGTCATCGTAAACCGCGATTTCCTATATTTATGTCAATAAATGGGTCAATCTTTCCATCACTTTTAGTATATAATATGAGTGAATGGCAGACCTGTGGCATATACCCGATCGCTGGGCCGGGTATTTGACTGCCCGGTTCGTTGGGCTGGAAACCAAATATACGGACATATCCCTGGTCTGGCTTTATTCGCCCGATTAGTGTTCTCAATAGTGTTGTTTTGCCGCAACCGCTCGGCCCTAACAGACCATAACTGTAATATACATTGTAATTAAAAAATCAAATTATAATAACTTTTTTAAAATTTAAACAAGAAATTAGTTTAAAGGAAAATATTTATGAATAATAAGTCACTAAAGGATGAACTTTTTCATAAACTTGTCTTCACTATTGAATACAATATCCTTTGAGTTGCATAACGAGGAAAAGATACACACGTTTATTAAAAACACAAGAAATTCAAATGTTATGACAAATTCATGTAATATTGAAATTCATTTTCTGTACAAAGAAATGGGATTTTTATCATAAATATGAAATCAGATTATTATGAATGAAATGTAATGCAAAGTTATTTAAGCTTTGTCGGGATTTTACGCTTTTTACTGACTTGTATTTGTGAGTTGTATTTCAATTTGATTTTAAATAAAAAGATTTGAGACTAAAATGATGTAATAATCTCGTAGATAGTAATTGATTGTAAACAGCGATTAGTTAAAATCAATTATATTTCTGCGATTCAATGCACTGTATTGTATAATATGCTAAACAATTAATGTTTTGAATAAATGATTTTATAATTTGTTGACATTAATATCGATTATTAGGTATAATATCAATAAATTAGTTTAACTATTGAAGTCATTAATGCTTTAAAAATAGGTTATACTTTACACATGACATTTTGTTAAAAGTTTTAATTAAATGGTTTTCTAATTAATTATTTCTGTGATTTTGTATTAATTAATCATTCATCCAATGTTTGATTTTAAAAATCATGTAACTTTTGTATAATGTATTTAATTATTATATAATTAATTAATTATCTATTTATTTTCAAGAATAAATGTTTGTTTCAAACATACAATCAGTTAGTGTTAAAAAACTATAATACTTAAAACAAATAAACATTTGCATAATTTATGGTAATTAACATAGTTTACAAAATGTATTGTATAAAATTGCCCATTATTTTATACTTTATTTTAATACAATATTAAATATAAGTTTAATTATAACAATTTACTAAATATTTTCAAAATTTATTTATTTAAAAAAATGAATTTAAAACTTTTCTCCTTTAAATTTATATAAACTAGTTATTATACAAGTCATAAATATTAGTGTTTTATAAAATTAATTATATAACAGAATGCTGGTGACTTTGCATTAAATTTTTAGATTTAATACAAATTATATATTGTATTAGATTTTACAAATTCATCGGTACTATAACAAACAAACAAATAAAATAAAGTTAAAAATAAATAACAAAAATATTTAATGTTATAATTATTTCAATATTTCATTTCTGTTTAATTAATGTAAGATTTTGTTCATTAAATTGTACTTAAGATTTAATCTAACGGTTGACTAAATTTTAAAATTTTAAATCATTTTTGTCGAGAAATTCTGTCAGTTTTTGTATTGAGTTAAAGTTATTGTAATCGAAGTGAACATTTTGACAACAGGTAGTGATTTCAGAGAATTAACTTCAGTTTTCTTTTATAATTAACTTAATTGAGTGCAAACATTGGACTAACTGTTAAAACATTCACTATAACTATAATAAATAAGTTATGATTGTTTTGTTGTTTCCTAAAATTCACAATAGAAGTTGTTTCCTAAAAATGAAAGTTTTCACAAAAGTATTACATTTTCGCTAAAACGCTGCCATAAATTTAAAATATGATCCAAACATAGGGAATACAAATCTTTCAAAATTAACGGATCTTTTGAGTAAAATATTTGCACATTAAATGACAGACTATTTTGTTAATAATTAAATTTTATGTAATATATTAATTTATGTTTTATTTACAAGCAATTGTTTATAAGTGAATCTCAACCTCAATATAAATGTGGATTCACAATGTATTTGAAAAGTTTTGGCACACTTTCAGAGACACTACAAATTTATTGCACCGATTTGTAGACTTTTTAAAGTTATCCTTAAGATTATTGAATAGTATTCTTGAGTGAAAAAGTCATAATCCTTAATAGCATTGTATTCATCACTACTGTATTTTTCAACATATTATTTCAAGTAAAAACCAAATAATAGACAATTTTTAAATTAACAAATAGTGATGAAAGTGACTGTAATTGAGTCGTGTATACAATACAACAGTAATTGCATCACAAGTTAGGAAAACTTAACTCAAATATAACTTCTTCATTTTTCATCAATTATTACAAAACAGTTACTAAAAAGTTTTTTTAGGAGTTAAAAGTTTGGAAAGATTTGAATTGATGACAAAATGATTGCAAAAAGACTTACATATTAGCTTCGGGTACATTGAGATTGATTTTGTTGAGTATAATCTTGGCTTTATGTCCACTTCCGTACGAGAGTTTGACGCGTTTCACTTCGACAGCAGTCCTCTGGAGTGGAGGAACACTTAGTTTGCGGTCATATGCGGGACGATATGAACACAGAGTCACTGTATTTCCCGCATCATCGGTGGCGTCCACTTGTGTCTGTCCAGGCATTTGTAGTGTCTGTCTGTTTATCTTTTTTATCAGTCAAACAATTAATGCCTAAAAACTCCGATTCCAAACACTTCTTTAACTTTGCAGTAAAGCCTATGAAAGCATTCAATGTATTGAAACTTTGACGCTATGAAAGCACATCACACTCTGAAAGCTAACACACAAATCATTTTCCTCATAAGTGAACACATATTTAGTTTACATTAGTCTATACTTCACACAAATTCGACTTTCACTCCAATGATAAACAGGTTT